CCTCCTGGGCTTTCTATAAAACAAACAGCAGCAAGAATTAGTACATATGGCGAAGGAGAAGAGGAGAGTAAGACTTAAAGGAAGCAAGAAGAGTGAACTAAGTTCAGCTGTAGATGACGACAGTACCACCACACAGGGAGTGCAGCTCAGATTATGGTGGGAGAGACCTGCTGGACGTTTTCTTAACTTCCCTTCCACACTTATCATTCCATAGTGACAAGACATGGTCAGGTGCAGTGGTTCACAAACCATGGTCCCAGTTCAAGAGTAGCATATACAGGCATCTCTTCAAAATAACAAAATTTGACAACTCGGCCCTCGTTGATGAGGGTTCTTGTCCAATAGGAACCATTATAATGCGGCCCCGATCCGGAGGTGAACTAAGTTGTTCCATCAGTTGCCAACTTTCGACGCGTCTTGGTGGTTTTAAAGCATACGTGCTTATTTAGTGTACTAAATAAAGCCCAGACACGTGTTTCGCTGATATTCTGCCAGTGCGTGGCACAGTTACGAGGTGTTCGGCTCCTCAATGGGTCCCCTAGCGCTCCCTGTGTGCTTTCTAGTTGAAACTATAACTTTCAAGTCGTAACTTATTAATTTCCCCAAAATGTGTTTTAGGATCTATAGGTTTAGACCGAAATTTGATTTGAACATTTCGGCCGAACTCCATCAGCCACTGCAGCAGCAGAATATCGGTGAAACACGTTTCCGAGCGTTTGGCCAGCACTTGTGCTGCCAGTGGGGTAAATAATTACGTACAGTAGCTTGCCTACCTCATGAAATGTCCACCGAAATTCTGGAATGGGTTTTCCATTCGAAAAAATATTGAAATATAGTTGTAGTATTTACTATCATACAGCCTAATCCAAATGTACTTCACCCGTGCCAGTATGCCGGGTTCTGAACGAGGCTCTGCCTATTCGCCTGCAAAATCAACATTCTGTAAAAAGGATTACTTAAGTAGCGTAAAACCTTTCTAAATGCAGGTATATTTTATAGAAACCATGTATAAAAATAATTTTTATGTACCCATTTGGTAGAAACTCAAGTCCATTTCGAATTATATGTTTGCGGAAAACGTATCTCTCGGTTTTAGAAAATATTTCCAATTCCCGAGTAATTATGGCTCTGACCTGCCCTTACACATGCGTTTAGGGTTTCCAACCTGGGCGATATTATATTTTACGGCTTCACTTGAGTAATTAGATTTAAATTTTATGAGAGGGGTCATCTATTGTAAGTTATACTACTGACTGCTTGATGGCAGCTGGTGAATATTACGCGATTATCCTGCAGTGCCCGGTAGACTTCGGCCCAAATATATCAAATTTCGGTCTGCGTTTATAGACCCTAGAATAGACTGACCTACTCCAAAATAACGATGCATTTTCTGGAGGAAATTAAAAGCTACAGGTCTAAACGCGTTGCAGGTGTATCACAATAAGGAGATCTCACACAGGCTGATTATTTTTCTTACTAAAAACCGAAGTCAGGCGCAGTGGTCGACGCGTTCTATGCAGCCATTTGATTTTACATTGGGCTTAATTCACCAACATTGACCGCTTAGGGCGTCCTCAAACTCGTGGATTCCAGGAACCATATCAGGGTACGGCAGACGTTATTCGAGTGGCGTTCCCATAACAAATGCCCCACATGCGGGGGGGGGGCAAATTGGTAGCACGCGTACTTTGTACCCTTACTTGTTACGGCTGTGATCATGCCTGATCTTGCCGGCCTCGATGATGTCACGGACGGTACCTCTCC